TCTCTACGTTGCAGCCCCAGCTCTATAACTGCCTGTTGCTCTTTTTACAAACTAAGTATCACTCTTCTATCTCTGTAACTCATCCCTACATTTTTAAGTATATTTAACATCTTGTGCTATTTAACATTGTCAGAAGCTTCTTCTATTTCTTCTAAACCCAAATTGACCTTCCTGTAATATTTTTTCCGCCCTTTTTTCCATCCTCCTGTGTACAATTATAGTTAAGATTTTTGACGCATAAAAAATTTAGGCTAATTGTTCTAAATGTCTCGCACCTATCCGCGCCACTCTTTTTAGATATGATTACTACCACGATCCGTTTATAATCCTCTGGTACTTTCCCCGTCTCGTAAATGTGACTAACTGACTTAAACATACGATCCTCTTGTCCTGCATGTTTTAAAATTTCCGCCTGTATCTCATCTATACCTGGTACCTTATTATTCTTTAAGCTTTTTAATGTTACATCGAACTCCATCCACAACCGTCACTGATTACATTTTTCATCGATATAATTACTTGCTTGTTATCGCAATTTTTCTATACTTTGTCAATTCACGCCCAGGGCCGGCTTTGGATTGCAACTTCTTCTGGTATTCTTACAATTGTGTTTTTTTATCTCTTTACTAGTGCGATCAGTCTTTACATAATAGTGACCTCTCAAGTAGGTACTAACCTTCTATTCAAACAGATAGTATCCATAAAATATAAACAAGTTCGTCATGAATTTATTGAGAAAAGTATCCGTTAGGAATTATGTTTTTGTTTGTTAATGTTTATTTCGTCATACCTTGAGCAATATTCTGAGAGTATGGCAATAAATGAAGTTAAGTACGGTTCTGTTATTGGCCTATCAACGGTGTTAATTAATTGCGAACGGTTTTACGTGTGGCTGACGAAGGTTTTTTGGCAATTTTTCGTACTTATGCGCGTATAACTGTAGGTATATTTAATAAAACGTACATTCCTCTTGGTGAGGGGAGCAGAGACGTGGATATCGAAGTAGGCAGTCGGCCAGAAGTGCATATTTTGACTGTACCACGTCGGACAGACAAAAATACAACACAACTTTAATAATCTAAAACCAATGCGCGACCTCGCGATGAATATCAATAGAATAGAATTGAAAAGTAACAAACAGAACTTTTATTGTTTACTAGTAAGGTATTTTTTCCTTGAGGAAACTAAAATTGCGCATGACTAGAAGGTCATACGGAAGGAAGAAGTCGTATGACACTGTGCGGAGATTGCAGTCAATAAATAATAATTAATAATCTGTTGGTGCCATCTGCGACATTAACATTTATATTTGGTCATGAATTATTGCTGCTACGATTAAAATGCAACAACTGGCCTTGCTTGAAAACAGAAGTAATAAATAGTTACAGACATAAATATATCTTGACTGTAATGTTCAAATTTTTGGTTAGTACTAAAGTGAAATTAGGAAGAAATATAAATTTTTCATATATAAGAAAACACTTAGAGAAAGGTGCGATATAGAGGGATCTGTCAGATCTGCATTTTATTTCGAAAATGCAAAACCAAGATCAAGACAGAACGAACACGTCCAAGACAAAAACCAAGACCGATCAGATTAAATAAGCAAGATCAAAACTTAACACGCAAGACCAAGACTAAGCGGAGACTGTATCGGCAAGACCAAGATCAAGGCCGAGTCTATATCAGCAAGACCAAGTATCAGTATGACCAAGATCAAGGCCGAGTCTGTATCAGCAAGACAAAGGCAGAGACCGAGGCTATATCGACAAGACCAAGGCCGAGTCTGTATCAGCATGGCCAAGGCCAAGGCCAAGGCTGAGACTACATCGGCAAGACCAAAATCAAGTCCGAGTCTGTATCAGCAAGACAAAGGCAGAGACCGAGGCTATATTGACAAGACCAAGGCCGAGTCTGTATCAGCATGGCCAAGGCCAAGGCTGAGACTATATCGGCAAGACCAAAATCAAGTCGGAGTCTGTATCAGCAAGACCAAGATCAAGGCCGAGTCTGTAGCACCAAGGCAAAGGCCAAGACCGAGGCTGTATCGTCAAGATCAAGACCAAGGTCAAGTCTGTATCAGCAAGACCCAGGCCAAGGTTGAGACTATATCGGCAATACCAAGGTGAAGTCTGTATCAGCCAGACCAAGACCAAGGCTGAGTTTACATAGGCAAGACCAAGGCCGAGACTATATCGGCAAGATCAAGACTAAGGCCTAAACTATATCAGTAAGACAAAAACTAAGACCGAATAAGCAGGACCGAGACTGTATCAGTAAGACCAAGGCCAAGACTATGACCGAAGAAGGAAGACCAAGGCCTTTATTACGTTAAAAGGTGGTCAAAAAAACAGACTTCATTCCAATGATTTAAGAAATACCAAGAAAATGTTCCAATCGGTCGAAAAACCAAAATCGGTTTGATACAATTAACTTATAACAATATTACTCATTATATTTTTCTAATTTTTATGACCAAGTTGACGTTGTCATACGCGGTTCGATAACGGAAGCGTGGATCAATACTCTATCTGAATTGCATCATTCCGTATCAGTCGGATTTACAAATTAATTATATTATAATGATTTATGCAAACTGCAATCACGTGTAGTATAATAAAACACATGCTGGTTAAAGTTAATTTGCATTATTTAATGCCGCGGACGGGAGTCAGTGTGAAACTTCTGCCACGCGACGTGGCACGTTAAAAGACAAACAGCCTCCAGACAAGTTTTTCATTTTATATTATGTATATGTATGACTTGATGAACGCCTGCCAGCACGACGGACGGACGGACTGACCGACGTCGCAACGGACGCTCTTATACGTGTAATAGTACGTATACATATATGCATACGTATGCACTTGTCTATGAGTTTGTTGTGTAACAAGTGATAAACGTATTCACATACATAGATGCATTTGTACCTAAATGTTTATTCATTATCGAATTATCATTGTTACAATAGCGATTTGCAATTTGTTTTTGTTCATAATGGATGGAAATAATGATACGGTCTAGGCGATTCGTAGTACGTACATGAGTATGTGTGTCCAGACTTACATAACGTATCATTAGTAAAATCTACTCAGTTTTCAGATGTAGTGCAAATAAACTCGTTGTAATATATGTGTAATGGACTAAATGATTAATAGGATATTATAAAAATGCCCGTGCAGTTTGGAATATGCCCGATTCGAGAGGGTAGTGTGATAACCCTAGACAAAAATTTTCAGTCTCTCTCCAGTCTTTCAGAGTCTTTCAGCGTCTCTGAGAGCGTCTCTCACAGTCTCTCGGTTATTACCTAGGTGTTTTTATGGATCTCTCATAGTCTCTGTACGAGAGACTCGAACGACAAAATCGTTAATTCAGAGATTCGAGTCTCTCACAGAGAGACTGAGTGAATAAAACTGAAAAATTGGGAGACTCGAGTCTCTCGTAGAAAGACTGGGATCTCTGAAATATGTTGAACTTAGAAAATTTTAACCATGTCTATCGAGACACCACTTATTGAGAGATTCGAGTCTCTCGTTCAGAGATTCGCGTCTCCCGTTAAGAGATTCGCGTCTCCCGTTCAGAGATTCGCGTCTCCCGTTCAGAGATTCGAGTCTCTCGTTCAGAGACTGGATACGAAATGAGGATCTCTCTATGAGCGACTCGAGTCTCTCGTTCAGAGACGCTAAACAGTTTTTTTGACAGTCTCTCTCAGCGACACCAAAGAGACTCGATGAGAGACGGAGACTCGAGTCTCGCTTTCAGAGATTCTGATAGACCGAACATTTTTATCTCGGGAACAACTATAGAAATAATCAAATGAACCGGGCCAGGTTTTTCAAATAATAATTACTTATTTCACCCTAAGTAGTTGGGGCGGACATTATAAAAAATGCCCCTATTTATTACTTGGTCACACCTTTTAGAGTATTAGACCTGATCGTTGAAATGTGATGTCACTAAAGAGAGACCTACGGTTGTCCCGCTTGCCTCTACTCTAGCGTAATAGGGTTGCAAATTTGAAAACAAAAGTTGGCATTTTTTAAAGATCGGTCTGAATTTAAAGATCGCTATGGTGTATTAAAATTAGCATTTTTCGACTTATCTTTTGTGCTTCAATTTTCATTCAAACAATTTTAATTCTGAGAAGATTATAGGATTTTAACATCAGTCATACTTTTCAAGTCGAAGGGTTATTACGCGATGACTGACCTTTTCAGACTATTTTCTCTTTAAAAACTTTTGAATTACCTACGTGTATGGTATGTGAATATTTGTCAGTTTTCCTTGTGATATTGGTAGCTGCTGTACCGATTGATACTGGTCAAAAATGGTCTTATCCAACTATGAATATTTTGGTAGGTTATGGTATATTTTAGAAACTAATAGCTTTAGGGAGAAATAGGTTCAGATATATTAGCTATCATTTGTTACGTTGTTCTTGTGTCAGACATGATACAATTTTTATCATTACCTCGTTATGTAATGAATTACTGGGAACCCGAGATAAAAATGTTCAGTCTTTCAGAGTCTCTGAAAGCGAGACTCGAGTCTTCGTCTCTCATCAAGTCTCTCTGGCGTCTCTGAGAAAGACTGTCAAAAAAACTTTAGCGTCTCTGAACGAGAGACCCGAGAAGCTCATAGAGAGATCCTCATTTCGTATCCAGTCTCTGAACGAGAGACTCGAATCTCTCAATAAGTGGTGTCTCGATAGACATGGTTAAAATTTTAACATATTTCAGAGACCCCAGTCTTTCTACGAAAGACTCGAGTCTCTCAGTTTTTCAGCTTTATTCATTCAGTCTCTCTATGAGAGACTCGAATCTCTGAATTAACAACTTTATCGTTCGAGTCTCCCATACAGAGACTGTGAGAGATCCATAAAAACAACTAGGCAATAACTGAGAGACTGTGAAAGACTGTGAGAGACGCTCTCAGAAAATTTTTGTCTAGGGAAATACTCTATCGATATAGTTTTTAACTGATAAAAATAATTGTTACAGATGGTGGCTCCCGTTGTCGGTCTTTCAAAGAAGCCGCACCAATTGGCTCTTGGTAAGTTTTACAAATTTTTATTTGCTTTGATTTCAAACTAGTTGACTTAATTCTGGCATGTTTTATACCTGAAAGTGTAGTCTCATTAAGTAATTAATTCTTATTTCATTTGCTTCTATTCGTAATATGTCGTACGGACGTGTAGTTTGAATTAAAACAGATGGAAAAGCGTTTAAATTTCGACCATTTTTCCGTCAATTTATATAAGTAAGTCGTCATGTCCATGTCATTACATAGTTCAAAGTGACAAGCGTAAATAGATTGTGTTTTGTCATGTTTGTCGCGGCCAAATGATGTCTATTAGTCGGAAGGCGGCGGAAAAACGGGCACTCGTCGGTGTAACTTGTTTAATATGACGAATAACAAGGGAACGAAACGTATATTGTAGTTGCACTTTTACATCTATTGCTCAGAATGACGTAGAAACTATTTTATGAGGCACAGTCAAAAAATTCATTTACAAATGATTTCCAATACATAAATATACCTTACATAGGTACTAGTATAAAAATCATTTTTAATCATAATCATTGCCTATATTCAATAATTAGTTATGGTACTAATATTTAACTGAAAAGAAGAAGAATGCAAATGTTTTCTTTGAGATAAGCAATCTGAGATTATTGCAAAAATAAATGAATGGGGGGGGGGATGAATATCCTTGTATGTATATAATAAAAGCAAATATAATTTATTCGGGAGCATGATAAAAGTTATATCCCTAGACAAAAATTTTCAGTCGCTCTAGTCTCTCAGAGTCTTTCAGCGTATCTGAAAGCATCTCTCACAGTCTCTCAGTTATTGCCTAGGTGTTTTCATGGATCTCTCACAGTCTCTGTATGAGAGACTCGAACGATAAAATTGTTAATTCAGAAATTCGAGTCTCTCACAGAGAGACTGAATGAATAAAACTGAAAAATTGAGAGACTCGAGTCTCTCGTAGAAAGTCTGGGATCTCCGAAATATGATGAACTTTTGAAATTTTTAACCATATCTATCGAGACACCACTTATTGAGAGATTCGAGTCTCTCGTTCAGATATTCGGGTGTCTTGTTCTGAGACTGGATACGAAATGAGGATCTCTCTATGAGCGACTCGAGTCTCTCGTTCAGAGACGCTAAACAGTCTTTTTGACAGCCTCTCGACAGTCTCTCTCAGCGACACCAGAGAGACTCGATGAGAGACGAAGACTCGAGTCTCGATCTCAAAGACTCTAAGAGACATCTCGGGATGATAGCCTTCCATTACGCGTCGATATTTTCGATTTCGATCTTCAACTGCAGGGGTTGATTTCAACGATATTAGTGGTTAAAAGGCTATCGCTTCAAAGGACTCCATATAGAGAGTTAGTAAAGTTGGTAATTGAGTTCCGACGTCTGGCCAGAATGAAACGGTCTACATCTACAGGTCTCATGAATGCTTTAGAATTTTGTAGAAGATTGGAGGATGTTCAAAATGATTGATAACTAATTTTTGTTGAGGTAAAGATAGGTTAATCCGGCTTGTATATGATAAACGTAAGTGTAGTTTGTCCATACGTGCCGCTAAGGCTTCTCTTTTGTGAAACTACCACCTCTTATAATAGAAAGTTATGGAACTACCTAAAAATAAATACTAAAACGTTTAATAAGGATAGAACTGTGCCTTACATCTACTTTCGATCCAAATTTTAAATGAAAAATGGACGTATTAAGCTTGTCTAAATGACAATATTCAGTCTAGGATCATAGATAGGGTACTGTAATGGCTACAGCTAAACGGTTGCCGACGAAATCGTTAACTTAAATTAGGTTAAAGTATAACAGAATGCCATGGTTAAAATGGAAACATTATGCGGTGTTGTTGACAGCGGTGCCATTTGTCCTTTGAGTAAAAAAAAGGAATTACTTCTTCTTTTGTCCGTATTGTGACGAAGTTTTCTTACTCTTTTAATAACATGAAGCGGCGGTTAATTCGAGGGCAGTGCAGAGGCAGGTTTGACGTCAACAATTCAAGCCTCGTATTAAATTCGTTTTATCAGCGTCGTTGTCGTTACTGTAGCATCTCGCCGTCCCCTCTTCCCGTCGCGTCTTCAACTCAGAACACCGTTCTCCGTCGGTCAGAAATCTAAACAAATGTCGAGTCTTCAACCGCAAACTCACTTATTATAGCTTATAACCATTTATTCACGTCTCGAATATACTCCGATTTAGTTTCCATCTTCCTCTGTCTTTAGTTTTTAAATGCGATTCCTGTTTTTGTCGGGCGTCGCTCGTGCTCGCATCTTGCGCCGCTTTTCCGCTTTCTCGTCTCTCTCTCTCTCGCGCCCGTTTTTAGGCTTGATTTCAATTTTAAATTAGACGTCTTCAGTTTGCAGCCTCGTTTAATCACTACGTCGAGGGCGACGACGGACGTCGGCGGCTCGCCGGCAGCAACGTCGCGGACGCATTCACACTTAGAACGCTGCTTCCGTCAAGACGGCTGCGCCCGTGTGTAAACAGAAATACTCAAATACTTACAGATATACGGGGTGATCCACCTCTAAAGCTCATCGACAGTTAACGTCAGAGAAATATAGAAAACCGGTTTTTAATAATCCCTGTTTGAATTTGTATTTTAAAATCCTACTGAACTTGAACCTTGACGAAGCTCTTGTACAAACTAGAGTGGGTGGATCGGTTTGGGAGTTTGGATGATTTAGAGAGCCAGACCATAGGCTCAATCATAATGGGGGGAGGGTTCTTAAAGAGAAACCAGACTACGACAAATCCCTGAAAGAGGACAGCAGTTCTTTCAGTACTCAAGGTGGCAATGCGATGTGGAAGGCAACGGGAAACCACCATATTATGATATCTCAAGAAAACCAAACCGAACTGAAATGATGGCGTCCTCTGGGGTAAAGCACTGCGGACGTAAACTAGTCCCCCATTGGGATGTCCGGGCGGGGACCACCTCGGAGGATATCATCAATAAGTGCAATAGGGGATGGTACAATATTTTACGAGTCAGAGCTTGGAATGTTAGGACAATGAGGTCGGGAAATTAGAAAATCTGAAAAGTCAGAGACATATTAGAGAAGAAACAGAAGTTAAGAGGTGTAGATGTAGACCTAGATTAGATTACTGTTCGCAAATGGTTAAGAATGTGGGTTGTTTTAGTTTTGTGGAAATGCGAAGGTTAGCTCAAGATAGGAAAGAGTGGAGGTATGTATTCAATCAGTCTTAGGACTGACGAACTTATGATGATATTTTAAAATTCCGCCCTACCTTCCGGTGTAGTCCAGAGTGACTGCCCGCCCACCAGCATTAACAGTTGGTGAGAATGAAACACCCAAAAGTTTCATTTTACTGATCAATGTTATGGCTTTGCTTATTTTAGCCACGTTCAAATGGTCTTCAACCGAAGACTGGCTAGGACACACATCTTCACTCCTCCCTATCCCTAGCTAATCTTCATATTTCTCGAAAATTGAGCCACTTTACATCCTCGACTATTAGCAGATAGTAATCTAGTATAGCTCTTCAACATCTCTTTTTACTTCTGTAGCTGCTTCCAACCAACCCTTCATGTTTCAAAAGGTGCCACAATCATCAGTTTCCCTGTCGACTCCCTTTGTTCTCTTAACCTTTTTTATCCTCGAAATTTTCATCATACATCTGTAATAACACGTACGTATGTATGTACGATTTTGAGGAATTATTGGACCAACTTGGTCGAGATAGAACACTGTACAGAAGGCCCATTGATGGGCAGTCATTATTTTTATACACTATATCTGATCAGTATTCCGAAAAAATTAAGGGGGGAAGGTACATGAAAAAGAAATGGAATGAGCATCACTCAGTGATATACATAAAAAAGAGGGTAATGACCTCACCGGAAGCCCCATCTGCTTCGGCAATGTTGACGCGTATTCGTACAATTGACCTGTTTACGTACCAGCTGTTGCGAAGGTTACGAACAGGTATGACGAGATAACTCGGCTGCTAACTTGGTAACTGTTCTCAATCATTGACGGCTAGATAATTGGGGTACTTTTTGTGCATACATTCTTACACCCCCAACGTTGTGGCGCTATCATAAGATGCACTCCACACTGCTTCCAGATATAGTGTATTTAATTTGATTAAGGTCTTTAATTCCTGAAGTACATCCGCACCACAATAATGCGTGCGAATAATGATTATGATTTCAAGATGGGTTATCATTTATTTTCGCTATATTTTTAACGTACTCGCACAGGTCTGGCACGCCTTTTCGAAACGGTTACTTAACTTGGGCTGCTCGCACGATATTGTTCTTAATTAATTAATTTTAGCAGTCATGGGAAGGGCGTTGGAAAAGCGGGTTAACTAAAATAGGTCAGTTATCTGGGACGAGTTGGAATGAACATTTAGTCGACCTTTCCATGTGAATAATAAATGTACGTTAGATTAGGCATCAGGGCAACCAGGACATACTTAAAACTTAATGAAAAATCAACAAGACCAAATTTAATAATGGACGTTTATTAGGTACTGGACGTAAAGGAAATGAATCATCTTATGTAGAATAAAAACTATGAAATAACGAATAATTAATACTGTTAATTGATTTTTGTTTGTGATCACCATAATCGTAAGGTCGTCACCTCTATGATTGGTTGGACACGCACCTCCACTCTTTCCTATTCTGAGCTAATCGTAGCATTTCCCTAAAACTAGAACATCCCATATCCTTAACTATTTGCGAACAGTAATATAATTTATATCTACCTCTACTCCTCTTAACTCCTGTTTCTGTCTCTAATATGTCTCTGACTAGACCTTCATGCCTGATCACCAAATAAACGACTGTTTCGTGACTTTGTAACTTCTTCAAAAACATAATGAAATTTAATTTCGTATTCTATTTGTAATTATAACTAAGGTAGGAGTGAGGGGTAGATTTTTGCGTTTATATTCATTATTAATTTCCATACTTTCAAGGAGATTAAGTTTACAGTCTTTAATATTATCAGTGCGTAAAACATTCAATTGAT